ATTTGGGCTTAATAAGCGGCTGGGCCTATTAACCGTGGGCCTAATAACCGGCGACTACTGTATCACGAAACCCAATAGTTTATAAAATACAAAAAGTAAAAAATGTCCAAATTTGTCACATCCAATAAACTATAAGTGAGAAAGAAATATGAGTAAATTTCTGTGTTTACTTATGGCGCGCTATTTTGTTGCGAAAACATTAGATTACTTAAACAATTTCGGGGACCCAAACTAGGATTCCACCAAAATATCTCCATTACCTTTCTGAAGTTGGCTATGGGCCTGTGAACCTCCGCGCTATTGTGACTGGCCAGGCAAATTCATACTGTTACTTTTGTCCTGTCTGTCCGGCTCTCATCTCTCCACCTTCGCAAAGTCAAGAGCTGTGCAGGAGAAGGAATTGTTTGGACCAAGTACGAAGGGGGTGAGGGGCAATTAAGAAATGAATAACGACAATGCAAATCGTTACTAATATTAGTTGTACAACATAACTACTGCATACAGTCTGCTGTGTTCGTAAGTGTTCACATTGAAATCTGAGTGGCCAGTTATGTCTGGCAATCTTTACTTTTTTCTCCTACCTACCGAATTTAGGTAGGTCTTCAATAGGGCATCTGCAGTCTTCTAATGGGTATGCTCTTGGAGCCACCTCTTTTTGGACATCCGGTCGGGAATGCTATTTACTGATTGCTGTTGTCTCCTATTAAAACGACAGATATTACAAAATTATCTGAGAGGCAAAGCAATATACTTTTCGTGTGAGCAGAAGCAGATGCGATCGCTGGGACAGGAACCTTTCTCGCCTGACGTTTCCGACTATGTCGCAGATTGATCATTGGGGACAATAGCACCCGTTTCTGCGGCATTTTCATTTTATTGAAATTGCATAAGGAGTTCATTTTGCCGTACGGCTTGTGTGCCGACATTATTTTAATGTCCGCAAAGCGTTTAACTCCGTTGCTTGTTGCAGGCTACTTGCTGTTTGCCTTTTGGACAGAAATAAGTATGATCATCGTTAATTTTTACCTTATAGTGTGACTGTTAGTCTTATCTTGATGAATGACAGTGTTATAGCTGCTCAACTTCTAATTCTTTATTTCACTCAGTTATGTTATTTTCTCAGCGTTTTTTGCATAAAGGAAAATCAGGCCTGAACACCTTGACCTCGGTTGTGACCATGCATTATCTAGTCGACCTCGATGATGTCGCGGCTCTTGTTCTTCCGCACGTGTCGATCCCCAGCGATGACGAACGAAAGTTGAAAGACAGTTTCAGGGTTAGCGTTATGCTTGTGGTGGGGCTTAACTTAGGACATAATAGGTAACCTTTCTGGAATGTACCGTAGGGTCACACGTAGTAAGGGAAGGCAAGCATATCCCTTGGTAGCTGTGTCGCTATTGGTCTATTGCTACTCATTCGTCAAATCGCACAGACTACTTACTTATTAGCTAGTTTTCGCGGAACGTCCTTCCACTGTTCTTCACCCGCGATCCAGCCGACTAGCCAAAAGAGAAATTGAGGACGAAATCCACATCGTGGCATGACTGGGCGGGAGGAGCAACATTTGCCATGTCGTCCATTTCATTCGCAGTCCTCTTGGCCTATTTTACCCTTTGAGTCATTTCCATCTTGTGGGAAGACAAAGAAAGAGAGAGAATGTATGCCGTTGCAGTTTAAGTTTGTGAAGCTTTTTTTTCTCCTTGCACACACAGTTCGCGGTCATCGGTCGCTGTGACTACACCAAGACCTGTCAGCTAATTGTCCAGCTCTTCGACCTATCCGCCTCCAATCTGCAGTCAGCTCTTGAAAGGTTTATCTCTGGTGGAACCTTCAACCCCAGCGCCATTGACGTCACGGTCCTCCAGACTGTTCGCGTTGAAGAGAACCGGTTGGCTTGGCTCGTTTACTTGATTGGTAAGTCCTTTCGTTGTTTGTCATGGCTCCCCTAAACTCTGATAAAGCATTTATTTTCTCTAGTAATTTCTGTTAAAACTGCCTTTGGGAGTAAGTTTAAGTTTATTAGATAATAATCTAATCTACAGTGGTTTATTTTCAAGTTCTTGTTGTACAGAGCTGACGCATTTTTCCCCCAGATACCCTTAGTCAGATTGTGTTTCTTCCCATTTGGCCGCACATATTATCGAAAAAGTGTTTTCTCTATTACTTCCGAAGAAAAGAATGACCCTTCTTTCCTCTAACAAATTCCTCATTTCTACTTTTTTAATACTCCACCACAAGAGTAAGTCGTCGACTATCTTCCTATTTCCTAAGTTGTGACGTATTGGGGTCGGTGAATTAGCATTGACTAAAGCCTTTAAGTACTTTCTCACCCTCTTTGCTGTCTATTTATCAATCCGGCAGACCTTTTGAAGCCCCGGACCAGTTGCTGCTTAACGCAGATAAAACATATTGTTTACCGGTCTA